CCCCGCCCCCGCCCCATCAGTACAGTCTGCTGGTTTTACAAGGAGGCTGTGCTGCTCGCAAATTCTAAATAATAGATCTATTTCCGCTTTGAGAAGAGGGCCTTCAGTGTTATTTTCTTGGCATGCTGCTACTCCTCCCTTCAACCCGATGCTTACAAAAGCCATCAGAGGGGCTTGTCACAGCTTCCTGTGCGGAGGGGTTTAACAAAAGAGTCACCAAATGAACCACTAAAAGGTACCAGGCAAATGATTTCCACTGGCACCTCACAAAGGAGGAATCCCATTTACACATTTCTGCGCAGTGATGAACTTGGCCTGTGCACTTAAGAAAGCAGCATCATTGTTACCTCTCTTCTGCTTTTAACCCCTTTTGTATAAATATCAGCACACGTGCCGCGGAGGTAAGTGGGGTGCATCTGCCAGGAGAGCTGTGGATGCCTTCGCTAAGCAAGATGGTTGGATTGCTGGAAAATCCCAGCACTGGGGGCGTCTGCTGGGTGCCTGGCAACCTGTGCCAGGGCCTCTCCACCACGCCAGGTGGCCCTGCCTGCTCCCGCTGCACTCTGTTGCCATGGGAACCAGCATCCTCCAGCCGACAGAGCAGCTGGCATGGTGCCTTTTCTTTTCAGTCTATTTGGGGCGTGTTTTGGCTCTCATTTCCTGGGCTCTCAAACTGCACTCCCCTGGGGCTCAGGCCATTGGTCAAGGCCATTTGTTGGAGATGAAGTAGAGATTACAGACCTCCCAGAGCCCTCAGATGCCACCCATGTTCCTGCAGCCCTCCCCCACCCCGGGTCAACCAACAAGCTCCACTCTGTGCTCTAAATTTGAGCAGGCAACCGGACCTCTTTCCTCGTGGGGAAAAAAACCAAGAGAAACCCCAAGGTGTGTGTCTCTGGGGAGTGCAGCCTGTTTTCTGGGGTATCTCTGAGCCTGCCCACCACCTGGCTGCTGCTATCTGCTGCTCCCCAAGAGGAAAGGGGACCTGGTGCACCCAGACCCTGGCCCTGATGCCCTGTTAGCATGCTGTGTGTGAGTGGGGGAGGTTCACACTTCAGGCTCATGAGCCTTTGGCTCATGGGTACAGAGTGGAGAGCAACTGGCCAGATGCTTTTGATCTCCCTGCCCTCCCAGAGGGAGCTGCTCAGAGGTGCAATTTCTCCCCTAGCCCCACAGGGAAAAGTCACGCTTAACAAGCCTGGTCCCAGGGATGCTGAAATGCTACCCAGCGGCCCTGCATGGTTCAAATGGAGCCCTGCCTTCCACAGACACAGAAGAGAGCGAAAACCGCAGATTGTTCTGCTGCTCAGTCTATTTCCCCATAAAGGAAAGGGAAGGGCTGTTCTCTCGGGCGCAGAGTGGGCTGCAGAGCTCCTGGGCCCAGGCCCAGGTGGGTGATGCTGCTGAGGAAGACGTAACCCCGGACACAGACCTCTTTGTTCTAAATGCGTCAGTGACGTTTGAGATCCCCACCCCCACCCCCACCCCCGGTCTGTTTTTGATAGAAGAGTCACATTTACCGGGCTCTTGTCTCTCGCCTATGTGGGCTGCTGCGAAAACCGTCTGCTGAGAATGTCGCCTTTGGAGGAGGTTAGGCCACTGGAAGACTTCTCTGTGGATTATGGAGCTGTGAGCTCTAGAATGTGCTTCTTGGGGGGTGCAGAAGAGCCCCCACATTACTGTTGAGAGCCCCAGCACCCACTGCACCTCAGCTCAGCCCACCCTGCCCAGAGGGGCCTGCAGATAACGTCTTGTCTCTGGGCCCCGGGTGGGCTTCCTCTCACGTGCTCTAAAATCAGGTGTATTTTCCCCATGTGGTGTGCCGTGGGTTGAGTTGTAACTCCTAAAGTCACATGTTAAAGTCCTAGCCCCCAGACCTGTGTGTGACTTCATTTGGAAATAGGGTCGTTACAGATGTAATTAGTTAACCTGTGGTTAACGGGAGTACACAGGGTGAGCTCTAATTCAATATAACCAGCCTGGCCAGCATGGCTCAGCGGTTGAGCATCGACCTAGGATCCAGGGGATTGTGGTTCGATTCCCGGTCAGCGCACATGCCTGGGTTGTGGGCTCGATTCCCAGTGTGGGGTGTGCAGGAGCAGCTGATCCATGACTCTCTCATCATTGATGTTTCCTCTCTCTCCCTGTCCCTTCCTCTCTCTGAAATTAACAAAGATCCATTTAATTCAATATGACTGGTGTCCTTTTAAAAAGGGGACATTTGGATACATATACATGGGGGAGGCTGCCACATGAAGATGGGCAGCAGAGATGGGAGTAATGGCTCTATAACCAAGGAACCCCTAGGATTGCTGGCACTGCCAGAGGCCGGCAGAGGCATGGGACAGAGCACCAGGTGGCTCCTCCCAGTGGGCACCACATCAGGCTACTGCCCTTTCGCCACAGTGGACGTGGCACTCAGCCATGGCAGCTAGTCTGAGGCCCATTGGAGAGGCTGAGCATGGCCGACGGGGCAAGGATAACTGGGCAATAGGACTGGCTGCAAGATGGAGGTCCGGCATGTGGCGGCTGGGACACATGGACAGCCAGAAGGCTAAGCTGAGCCACGTAAGTCCTGAGCTGAGGGTGATGCCACGACAAGAGTCATGTCAGGTCTGAGCATCCTTCCAGCTGCCAAGCCAGGTCCCAGCCCCAGGGGCCCAGCATTGTGGCTGCCCTGAGCAATCCAGGGCTCTTACTAGGTCACCAGAAGGACTGTCTCCTGTTCCTGAAAGAGTCTCCCTCTATGGGATGGAGAGGGTGAATTCACAGTTTTCTGTGGTCACAAACTCCTCTGGCCTGACTTTCCCCAAATCAAATGCAATGAGACACTCTGAAATCCAAATGAGCTGCCAAGTAAGTCTGACATAAACGTGACCTGGTCTATAGGACACCTGCCAACAGGGCTCTGAGCCCGTCGGGCTACTCCCGAGCCCACCTCGAGGCCGGCTAGCCCGCTAACTCCGATGGGCCCGAGCTGCAACTCTTGGTATCCCATCACCTCCAGCCCTTGTAAGACGCTTCAGCACAATTACCACCCCCCATCGCCCCAGGCCCCAGCAGGCTGTACTCAATGTTTCAAAACCAGGGAGAGAGCTCCAGACTGTTAGGTGACTCTTTGTAAGAAGCTGGGTGCATTGGCAGGGCTGTCCTTGGGTCCACTAGTCCCCATTAAAGGGGCCGAGGCCCTGCTCTAAACTGAGCAGTACTTAGCAGTGTGGTGCTCTGGGGGTGATAGGACCCATTATAACCAGGCGGTATCCTGGGTGGGCACTCTGGGCGGGAAGAGAGTCCAGCAGAGGAGGCCTCTGCACAGCCTGGGCAGTGCATGCGCAGTGTCTATCACCATCTTTGCTGTCCCTGTGCATATCCGGCCTAAGCATGAACATCTGCTGGGACCACGGTTCTGGGACAGGGTCCTACTGTAGGAAAAACCCACTTTCAAGGGGGTGTAACGAAGACTGGGGTCTTTCTTCATCAATTTCAGCTGCCCAGGGCACGTGAGGAGGGATCCCTTGTTGGGCAGGACAAGGGGTTTCTGTCCAGAACAGCTGGGGACCTTTCTCTCCTGACCCGCTGCTCTGCACAGTGGGGATGTCCGCCCAGGAGGGGACCTCTGAGGCACCAGGACACTTGTCCCCTGTAAGCCAAGAGCCTTTTCTTTTTATTGTTCCCATTCTTCAAAAATTGGTGTCAACTTCTCAATCCAGCCTCTCTGCTCTGGAGGCTTATTCCCCTCGATATGCAGCCAGCCGCCCAGCCCCCGTGCCACGAGGTCTCTTTATAAGAAAGCTCTGTGATGGAAAAGCAAATCCCAACAGGGGCATGGCTGCCTCCAACTGTGCCCCCCCAGCTGTGCTTCTGGGAAAACAAAGACCAGGGCGCCCTTACCTGTTGTTTCTGGCTGCCAGTTCCTCCCTCATCTTTTTAATGTCACTCTTGCATTTCTCAATCTCCACCACTTTCAGTCCTTCCACTGGCGACAAAGAGAAACAAGGGGGTTACCATGGATACACCGGGAGGCTCTCGAGGCTGCTAAGTGGGGGCCCCCCGCCCTGTTGGGGGGGGCGGCTGACTCAGTGCAGTGGCTCCCACTCCTGCCCAGGCTGCTGATATTCAGGTCTTGTCCCTCTGCCCACATTCGGCTCAGCCACAACTGACTCCGACATCGTGGGCCTGTTCCGTGGCCAAGGGTACGCTGTTGCCTTCATCCGTGGGTTTCCGTAGGACAGAAGTCCTTCCTCCCCGTTCCCTGAATCTTGATTTTTCTTGCACCCACTTCTAGCTTTCTCTCTCCACACCCCTAAGCATGAGCTGGGGGCTTGGGCGGGACAAAGGAGTCTCTCAGCCAAAAGAAAAGAAAGGGAGGGGAATGTGGCCCCAGGGCATTAAAATGCTCCCAGGGCTCAGTGGGCAAGGCCACAGCCTTCCCAGCAAGGACTCACACCTCATTCAGATTAAAGCTTTGCACTTCAAGGCCCTCGCTGGAGCAGTTAATCAGGACTTAAAATAGGTGAGAAATGAACAGGTCATGTTAATGAGCACAACCTGGGCCAGGTGGCATCCCTGGAGTCCCACGGCAGAGCTGTGCCCGAGAAGCCAGGACGAAGTTTTCATCCAAGAATGAGCTGGGACTTAAGCCTCCAGGCCTGTGCTCAACGCCCAGCCGTTCACTCTGGTGGGTGCGCAGCCAGCCCAGAACTGTTGCCCAGAGGCAAGCAGCTTTGGAAATACTTTTATTTGTATTTATTTATTTAAATCCTCACCTGAGGATATTTTTTCCATTGCTTTCAGAGAGAGTGGAAGGGAAGGGGAGAGAGAGAGAAAGGGAGAAACATCGAATGTGAGAGACACACATAGATTGGTTGCTTCCCGCACTCACCCCAACAGGGCTGGGGATCGACCCTGCACCCGAGGTCCATGCCCTTGGCTGGAACCAAACCCGGGACCCTCCAGTCTGAGGGCAGATGCTCTAACCACTGAGCCAAACCGGCCAGGGCTGGAAATACTTTTAGAGTCGGTGCATAAGAAATAGAAAAGACTGGCTTTGTTACTTTGTAATCACACCTCAATTTTTATGCAAAAAGACGCGACCACGATGCCACTCTATTCCCCTTTTCATCAAGCGTGGCTCTGAATGTGGCTAAAAGTAAAACGCTATGATTTCTGAGGAAAATGAAGGGACTTGGTGACTGCGGCAGTCCCTCTGCCCCCAAGGAAGTGCTCTGGCCCTGGAGCACATGTTGGGGGAACTCTCCAAGGGCAGCTGGCTGGAATCATAACCTCCCTGGGCAGGTTTTCTAAACATCCCCAGGGTCAGGGGCCAAATAGGGGTAAGGCTGTGTGAACACACTGCTTTTTTCTGCCCAAAGTGACCAGAATCCGGAGGATCTGATGCTCAAATCTGGTCCTCGTGACTTGCTTCTGTGTCCCTCCTCTACCAGGACACGGGACCAAAGGCTGGAAGCCTTAAACGGGATTAAAGAGCGGAACTTGGGGCAGGTTGGCTGAGATGGTGAGAGAGCGCACGGCCAGCCGGGCCCCGGCAGACCATGCCCAGTCCATTCCCGGGCACCGGGCTGCTTTTGGAAGACTGGACATCAGTTTCAAACACGTGGTCCCACTCATCCACCTCGAAATTTAAACAGAGATGGGCACAGACCAGAAACCCAAACTAAAGCGGAGTCTCCCCAGGGCCGCCCAACACTGGAGGCCGCACTTATTCACCCAACGCTGAGTCGGCGGGAGGTGACTCAGAACGGGGACACCTGGAAACCTGGCTGTCCTCATACGGACTTCAGAGGTGGCTCTGGAGGCAAGTCACAGGCCACCATGAGGGAGGGCCTTTAAGGATGGCTTTCTAAGAGGGACGCTGGCTTCAGGGACGGGGCCTCAGCAGGCAGGGGCAGCAGGACAGGTCACGGAGGCAGCTCTGTTCCACACGGGCTTCCACTGGCCGCGCTGAGCTTGCGGAAGCA